AGACGTCTTTATGAAAGAGCAAAAGGAAAGAGAGGTCAGCAGGCCTTGAATGCGCGTCAGGGTTGTGCAAGAGATGAGCTGGATGCACTTCATGAATCTGTCCAATCCACTTTCTAAAGATGTCTGTGCCTTTTGCTCTCACTACCTGCTCTGGCAGCCAGTTCCACATTCCAATCACTGCCTGTGGTCAAGTGGCCTTTCCCTTTGTCCTTCCTGAACCTACTGCCCACCCGCTTCCTTGGATGCCCCCTCGAGCCCTAGTATTCTGGGAGAGGGAGGACATTCCCCCCCCTCCGCTCTCTCCACCCCAGGAGTGATTTGATAAATCCTTCTGGTGTCCCCCCCCCCTCCCAGTTCATCTCTTTTCTAAACTGAAAAATCCCAGCAGACCCTTTCAGGGGGAGGGGCTTCAGCCCGCTCGTCATTGTGGTTGCTCTCTGCAGTTCTTTCCCCCCGCTCTGCAGTGTCTGAGATTACACACACACACCCGCCATGAGGGTATGGGGCCCGGGTGTTGCCCTTGGCCTTCTTCAGGGGTGGCTTTTGTGTGTGTGTGGGGGGAAAACCCGCTCCCCCGGAGCCTTCGCTCGGGCCAAGGGGCCCCGTGGCTGGCAGGCGACCCTCCTCCGCTGGCAGGCTTCCCACTCTCCAGGTGGGGTCTGGAGATCTGCCGCAGAATGACGACTGACCTCCAGGCTGCAGCGGTCAGTTCCAGAGAGCCAGTCTGGTGTCGTGGTCAAGTGCGCGGATTCCAATCTGGGAGAACCGGGTTTGATTCCCCACTTCTCCACATGCAGCTGCTGGGGTGACCTTGGGCCACTCACAAGTTATGTCAGAGCTGTTCTCTCATGAGCAGTTTCTGTCAAGAGCTCTCTCAGCCCTGCCTCCCTCCCAGGGTGTCTGTCTGTTGTGGGGAGGGGAAGGGAAAGGAGTTTGTAAGCTGCACTGAGACTCCTTCGGGTAGTGAAGGGCCATGGGGTATAAACCCAATCTCCTAATCCTCCTCTGATAAGAGCTGTTCTTAAAAAAAGAGCAGTTTCTGTCAAGAGCTCTCTCAGCCCTGCCTCCCTCCCAGGGTGTCTGTCTGTTGTGGGGAGGGGAAGGGAAAGGAGTTTGTAAGCTGCCCTGAGACTCCTTCGGGTAGTGAAGGGCGGGGTATAAATCCAATCTCTTCTCTTCTTCTTTCCTTCACTTGCAGCTGCTGGATGACCTTGGGCAAGCCACAGTTCTGATGGGCTGTCCTTGAAAAAGAGCAGTTTCTGTCAAGAGCTCTCTCAGCCCTGCCTCCCTCCCAGGGTGTCTGTCTGTTGTGGGGAGGGGAAGGGAAAGGAGTTTGTAAGCTGCCCTGAGACTCCTTCGGGTAGTGAAGGGCGGGGTATAAATCCAATCTCTTCTCTTCTTCTTTCCTTCACTTGCAGCTGCTGGATGACCTTGGGCAAGCCACAGTTCTGATGGGCTGTCCTTGAAAAAGAGCAGTTTCTGTCAAGAGCTCTCTCAGCCCTGCCTCCCTCCCAGGGTGTCTGTCTGTTGTGGGGAGGGGAAGGGAAAGGAGTTTGTAAGCTGCCCTGAGACTCCTTCGGGTAGTGAAGGGCCCTGGGGTATGAATCCAATCTCCTCTTCTTCTTCTTCCCTGGAGGGAATGGCCGCTTGGCAGGGTGGCCTCTGTCCTTACTCCTACCCTTCCCCATTCCCACCCCCAAACCTCCAGGAATATCTCAACCCAGAGTTGGCAACGCTGGCTTACGGGGAGCCGCTCTGGAAGGAAGTGCCCTTTGGGCTCCCAAGAAGTGTGCCTGGAGGAGGCCAAGCGAGTTGCTGTTCCCTCCCAGCTGTGCGAGTCAGTTGAGCCGCCGATTTGGGGTGGGGTGGGGTGTGGCGCTGAGCTCTGGGGTGGCGCTGGTTCTCCAGATACCACAGGGAGAAGACAAGCCATTCCGTTTGGGTGAAGCCTTTCCCCCCTCTTTGTTCTGAGAAGGAATGCACTCCCCCCCCCCTTCCTGCCCCTTTTTGGAGGCAACGCAGAAAGAGGGGCAGCCCAGTGAACCGTGTGCTGCTGGCACTGCCCGGAGACAATGGTGCCCTTCGTGGTCGCCCGGGCCCTGCTGGAGGCACTGCCAGTTTCCTGCCTCCCTGGCTGCTCTGGCCCTGAGGGCTCCCTGGGAAAAGAGAAGGCTTAGAGGCGACACGATTGCAGTCCTCAAGTATTTGAAGGGCTGTCATTTAGAAGACGGAGCAGATCTATTCTCTCTTGCTCCTGATTGCAAGACTAGATCTCACGGGTGGAAACTACAAGGGAGTCGATACCGGCTAAATATCAGGATAAACTTCCTAAGGGTAAGGGTGATGGAGCAGTGGAACAGTCTGCCTTGGGAGGTGGTGGAGGCTCCTTCGCTGGACGTTTTCAAGTGGAGGCTGGACGACCATCTTTCCGGGTATGTTGTAGGGCTGTAGGGCTCTCTTTCGGCTCTGCTCCTGCAGAGTGCAGAGGGGGTTGGACTAGATGACCTGCAAGGTCCCTTCCAACTCTGACGTTCTATGATTCTCCGGGGCGATCAGATCCCAGCACTTCCGGGCTGCCCAGTTGGGTATTATTTTAAATGTTTCCCACGGATTTTATGTAAGCCGCCCTGAGCCGGCCCCGGCTGGGTGGGCAGGGTATACATTGAATGAATGAATGAATGACACCCAGAGGCCCGTGGTCTGCTGCCCTTGCCTGCCCCGGACTTCCTTGGGGGCCTCCCCCCCCCATATCACTTCGCCCCCAGCTCTGAGCACCCTGGGCTAGGCCGGGGCCGTCCAGGTGCGGGCCAAAGAGGTGCTTTGCCACGGCCCCTGGGCGTCCTCGGGGGTCTCCCGTGCCAACAGTGGCCAGGGCCGACCCCGCCTGGCTTGGCTTCTGCGATCAGGCGAGACGAGGCTGACCCGGGCCGCGGGAAGGCAGAGCCGAGGTCGAGGCGCTGGTCTCCAGCCCCGTTGGCAGCCCGGTGCAGGCGGCGCTTCCTGCGTGCTGGGCGTGCTTGGCCCGCGGAACTCCCTGCCCCGCGAGGCGGC